CTATAATAATAATAATAATAATAATTAATGTAAAAATAAAAAAGTACGAAAAAAGAAAGAAATACCGAGTCAGTTTTGTTCGTATATGCAATTTAATAGAAAGAAAAAATGAAAATGCAACAACAAAATTATATAACTTAACGCATTGCAAAATGTTTTCGTTAGTTTTAACAAGCGCACATACGAAATGAACTCACGTATATTTAAAATGATCACCAAACAAATAGATGATTTTATTACTCGAGCGAAATAATACGTAATAATTATATGACATATAAATGCAAATAAATAATAATCTTCGATATAAATTCGTTTTTTTAATATTATTTTTGTACTCACTTCGAAAGATGTTTTCTCTAGAGGAGGTTAGAACCATTTTTATTTTCAGATTTATCACACGGATTTCTTCCGAATTGTATCAGCATTAAATCTAAATATACATAAGGTAGGTTTAATTCTTATATTTTTCAATAATAAAATAATAAAAAAATATATATATATACGTACAAATAATTTCAAAAATTTTGAAAACAAAATTTGACTTTTGTAAATCGCGCGTTTTTATAATTATTTCCTATTGGATACTTACTATTGAATTTTCCGAAAAAGAAACGTTCTGATTCGTTCTTTTAACTGGGGATAAAAGTAATATCTTAGTCAAGTGTACAACGTAAACTATAATAATTTGAAAATATTCGTTTCGTTTCACGTCAAATATACAATCGAAACAAAAAGATGAATTTGATAAAATTGATTGTAATGACAAAATAAAAGAAAATAAAACAATTATTGTTATTGTATTCATTTAAATAATATGTAATTATTAAATGAATATTGGTAGCATTGATGTAGGTATTGTATCTAGTATTCAAATACTAAACAACTGTTGGTAGCAGGACACCCTAGACGCTTAGCGGTTAATAAAATTTTGTGTTCCGAGAACTCGAAGGATATTAATTGGTGATAATTAAGAAACATTTGTTAGAATTATAAGTAAGTATTTCAATTAATATCTTATAATAATTTATTAATTTAGTGAATTAAATTAAATGTTAATTTAAACGTATTACATGTTTTGATAAATCCTTACAAAGATATGTTAAAAAAAATACATGGCGAATATATTCTAGACTATAGAGTATCTCTCTAATCAAACAATTATATAACGTTCTCTATGTTGATTTAAATTGTCCTTCAATTTGAAAGATGAAATAATTAAGGAGTAATAATCCTGAGGATGTATTAATAATATGTAATAAAATTTTCTTGCATGTTCATGTCTTATTATAAAAAAGTACTAATAATTTTATTGATTTAATTCATTAAAAGTCATTTATTTTATTTATTATTGTTATATTAAAAATATAATATTTCCAAGTGTTGTGTTAATATTTATTTATTGTATTTTGTAGATCTATTAATAATGGTTGCCCATACAATACTCCTTGACTTTACTGTTTGTGCTAATGTCATAGCAGACTTGGAAAAACGTTCTAATTTAAAATCTGCTATTGCTAACGTTCTTGGTGAACACTTTATCGGTTTGAAACCATTAACAGAATCAAACATCGATGGGAGCTTATTGATTTTGTATACCGGCCCAAGAGGTAGTTTAATCACTGTAAGAGGATATAAAGAAGGCCTAATTACGTTAAACATTGAATATTTCAAACAGGATGATGAAGATGCATTGTTAACATTCGAGGTATAATAATATATATAACTTATTATTTTTTAATATATTTATTCTCAGTAGCACGCCTGTATAATAAGGAGATTTTATGAATTACGGATCTCTATTAACAATGAATAATGTTTTTATGATATTAATTATTTATTGATTTTTCTTGTTTACATTGAACATAATTTTATGGAAATTTATTGCGATAGGTCAATGTTTATGCATCTGGGTTAAAATTATAACATCAATTTTTTTTGAAAAAACAAATAAATATTAGCGTGTATCAAGAAATAAAGTCAATTTAACTCGATTTGATTTCTTGACACGATAAAAAATGAAATATTCAGAGAAAGAAAAAAAAGAAAAGAATTATTCAAATGAATTAGTATGGCATGCCTAATAATATATGCAAGTTCTCAAAAAGAGTGGTATATCGTGGGATAATATTAGCCTCTTTGCGCTTGGGAATAAAATAAAAAATCGAGCTAAATTTATATTTATTTTGCACGCTACTGTTGCTATAGTAGTAAGTAGATAATTTAATGTAAAGGAGAAGGGAAACATAGCATAACCAACAGGACGTTGTAGCAGTGGCGATACTTGGAAGCAGACGTTGCCATGGCTTTGAACAGCCAACGCAGCAAATGTTTACCACCTGTAAGACGAGGAACCGTATATGACCTCTATCTGACACTATCAGGTAGAAATTGCTTTCCCACGATCACATTTGTTCCTCGATTATTCTCTTAACCTTCGTTTTTATATTTATAGATTATCATGGAATACTACCCTAGAATTATAATTGCTATTGATTGTTACTAATAGATATTTAGGGTAGACCGCTTGCCAGGAATGCTAATTTTAGTTACCCCAGCACACACTCTTGCATATTATCAGATTATTTATCACCTTACTTGCTCATGCTCTTCTGATATCTTTTTTTATTATTACTATCATCTACTATTTTTGATATAACTGGTATACTCGATTTTAATTATAATAACATATGGATCAACATGATCCTTAACACGCTTAGTATTATTATCTTTTTCATTGAGATAATTTAGATTCCATTTATGTAAAGGGCATTTAAATATTTTTGCAATGAGATACCAGATCTTGATACTTTTTAGCTTCTCTACAGGGATGTAGAAATTCTTTTAACAAGATAGTGCATTTGTTCTGTTTATTCATTGGTTCGCTTCACGGCCATGGTAGTTGGCCAGAGAGTTGGAGACGGCGTTGCAGACAGCAGCAACCGCTACGCGGTCACACACGCTTATCCCCATTAAACGCGGTGGACCTTTTGAGAGATACTTTCCTACCGCCGGTGAGTTTTATTTATAATTATGTTTACGGTCAATTGTCAACTCGTTGAAAACAATGCCACAGCTAAATTGTATCAAATACCACATTTGTAAAAAAGATATAATATCAAAAGGGTCCTTTTTTCTATTATTAAATCATATGAATGAAATATTTTACGCTATTTTCTTCTCTTCAATTTAATAATTGTTTTCTTTCTATTATATATATAAAACTCTTTTTATTTTTAATATGTGTATTTAGTAGATAAGTTATTCATTTCTTTATAAATTATATGGTTTTATCTTTGATATGACAATTGAAATATTAAAGCTATGAAAAATGTCTCAAATAGATAACTAACAAAACAATTACTTACAGTTTCATTTGGAACAATATATAATATCTTTTATTTCCATCAATTGTTAAATATGTTTGCAGCAAATATTATTTATAAAATAATTGTACATACATTAGAAAAATTAAATAATACTGATTTAACAAAGTACTGATTTTTTAACACTAATTTGACTGCTTTTAATGCTCTGCTAGATACTCAGGGATGATGGATGGTATAACGCATTAGGTTGCTGCCGTGTATGTGCATAAGAGTTAAGGTCTTTTTAGTTGGTTTTTAAAATAGATTGTATATGTTTTTTCGCACACTTTTTTATCAGTTTTTAGATTGTACATAATAATAATAATAATAACAATAATAATGTTTGCCTTGTATTTGCATGGCCAAGCATTTTATTTAATGTTTCCTTAATTATCACATACTCCCAGTATTTAATCATATATATATATATATATATATATATATATACACAATACTATCAAATAAAATATACTATCTATCCAAGGAAACCATATATTGTTTTAGTTTATTACAGCTTGTATATCACCCATGTTAATTATTTTAAACAAATTCTTACTGTAACAGCTATACAGTGTTAAAGCATGTTTTAGTTTGAAAATCCAAATTTTAGCGAATACCATTTTCTAAATATATTTACTAATAAATATTGTCTTTGTTTTTCAAGATGAGAGATTGCTCGAATATGACATTGATAAGCTGGTGTTTGAGGCACGATCGCCTTATCAAAAGGTACAAATTGTCCATTCCAAATCTCTTGGTAATCTTCTGGTTCTTGACGAGTTACAAAGTAAGGAAAATATATTCAAATCATATATATCATTTTAGTAAGGGCTTTGTAATATAAATCATTTTTTACATTCTAGATATGTCAGAAGCGGATCTTATATATACAGAAACGTTGATGCAACGTGGCAAGGAAAATTATGCTGGGAAAGAAATAGTTATACTTGGTGGTGGAGATGGAGGTTTACTCTGGGAATTACTAAAGGAAAAACCAAAATTTATAACAATGCTTGAGGTACATATTATTAAATGCTCTTACTTTAACTACACATATTATACGTTTTATTTGATTATAATATAATATTTCTTACCAGATCGATGACGTTGTTATGAAAGCTTGTAGCCAACACATGAGAAGTATATGTGGAGATTGTTTAGATAAAAGGAAGGATGATAATTATGAGGTAAAATCGTGAAAGAAGAAAAAAAAGAAAAAGAAATACAAAAATATTATTATAATAGTATTTTTAAAATGTATTCAAATTTGACTAATTGTAGATAATAGTCGGTGATTGCGTAAAGGCACTTGCGCATATGATAGAAGAGGGTCGTCAATTCGATTATGTTTTTGGCGATTTAACTGATATTCCAATCAGTACCACTCCACATGGTGATGCATGGGATTTTATAAGATTAATTCTAAATTCTTCGGTAAAAGTACTTAAACCAACAGGAAAATATATGACCCATGTAAGTTGCATTCTTATTATTTGTATCTTATGTTAGTAAAGTAATATTTATATTTATTATGGATATTTTTTTTCCTAGGGAAATGGTGCTTCCTGTCCAGAATCTCTAAAAATGTACGAGGAAGTATTATCAAAACTCTGTATACCTGTCACCTTCACAAAAGATCGTGCTTTTGTACCGTCTTTCTTCGAAGATTGGATTTTCTATCAAGTGTCGCTTAAATGATGGATTAAAAACAGATACGATCATTTCTTTGAAAGACCAAGCAAATTTTCTTACGATCTATTACTTCCGTTATGACCCAAGTTGAGCCTTAGTTATAGAAACTTAAACAAATAATCAGTTCCTCTCTAAAAGATAATTTAACTTCTTATTCAAATCAAAACAATACATATAGATTTGTACCAACAAGTGCAAATATTATTATATGTTACATTCTATATGTACATACGCATGCGTACGTGTGGTTACTCTAATTCTGATATTATAAGTCAAACACTATATATATATATATATATATATCTTCATGCTTAATTAATCATTACTAGTAAAATGTTGAAATACGTGCTAATTTATTTTTTGAATGTACAGTATATATTGTGCTTACAATTAATTATAATTTTATTGATATATTCAGAGAAAAATTTTTATAAATTCAGTTATTAAAATACACATGAACGACCAAATTATGTGTACAATATACATAAGAGTGTGTGAAAAAAGAAAACGAAAAATAGGGTTTAATAAACTAATGATTTCGCTTCGTTTTTAAGTTAAGAAAAAGTCACAAAAATTATTTGAATTTATAAATGTTATTTAAAAAAGAAAATAATAGATATAAGTAATTATCAAGTTCTTTATTAACGTAATGTAAAATATTTTCAATGTATCATATTCAAATATTACTAAGGAATTGAACAGAGCATTTACCATAAGATTTGTAACAACTTATGGGTAATATTTTCAGTACACATCTTTTACAACCGATAATTATTTGATCGTCTATGAATATTATGAATATTTCTATAATATGATATTAATTAATTTACACAATTTGTATGTGAAAAATTACGAGGACAAGAAACAAATTACACAAAAAAAATAAAAAAGAAAAAGAATACTTGAAAGATTATTTTTTATAGTACATTTTCTTGCTTTGATAATGATAATTAGAAGAGAATACATAACAACAGCACAATATGGAATAAAATTACCATTTATATTCGCTTATATAACACCAGTACAAAAAAGACTATTATATAAATATTCGATTACGTAAAATAGGCATTCAGTTTTGTCAAACTGATAATAAATAAAGGGTATAATTGTATATGAACTTATGTCTTATTAGAATATATTCGGCACTTCCAAAAGAAAGTGACTTTTAAAGAGCACACCTATACATGATACGCAAATATAAAGTCTTATATATATATAAGACTTTATATATATATATACGGTAAACAAAATAAGAAAAAACAAAAAAAAAAATAAAAAAATAACTTGCATGCTAACTGTAATTCGTTCAAAACCCCACAGAGCCTTTTTATTAATTAATTTTAATTAAAATATACGCGCACATATATTCAAAATGATAGTTCAGTACAATTCAATCACTTATTGCAATGCCTTATGTGATCTGTGTATAATAATAAAAATAATAATAACTTAGGTCTTATTGAATTTAAAGTAATTGTGTAAATTTTAATGAAGTACCGTTATAAGTATTACTCTCAATCTTATTTTTGCGTTTTTAAGTAATTATGTATAATGGAAATGATTTAAATTAAATATCTTTTTCTGTGTTATATATTAATACAACAATAAATATTTATATTAATGTTTCTTTCAATTAGTGCTGTGCATTTTAAATTACGAAAAAAAGTATTCAAGTATTTGAAAAAAGTACTCAAACAAAAATATGTTACTACTCTTACATGAGTAAAATATTCCAAAGATAAAATGTTTTACAAACTCAAACGAATATTTAAAAAAAGAAAGAACCATAAGTCCAATATAAAATAATATAAAAAATATTAAATAATGGAAATAAATTATAAAATGCATATGACATAAATTGTAATGATAAATCAGACTTTTTGGTTTACTTTCCATTATCATGGAAACTTTGGCCCCACTTAAGACATGAAAGTATTCTTATCAAATTCAAAGACATATAAATTAAATAAGTAGTGCAATTCCTTTGTTGATGTTGAACATTATATAAATTAATGTTACTTTATGTTTCCAGTTGAAGCTTATTGTAATGTTGAACTTCTGATAATTCTGAAAATTGTCCTACCTCATGAACTATTGGTTCTATTTCAGTTTCAACCAATATTTGTTGTAACCATTGCTGGACTTGTTTTGGATGTTCATAAACACCTTTCAGTAGATCTTGATTTTTTGCAGATTCAATATTTTTTATTTGATCTGATATATTATGTTGATCATCAGAATGATTAGATTCAAATGAATCCGTTTTATCCAAGGACTTTTCTTCGCATAGCTGCACTCTTTCGTTAACATCTTCATTAACGGAATTAATGAAAATATTTGCACCTTCATTTGGTATAATAATATTCTGCAAGCCATTTGTGCACTTATTATTATATTGATGTTCTCCGTTTTGTTTAAAATATCTATCAGTATCTTGCTTTATTATGTATAATGAAGAACACAATGGCAGAACTTCAGAATCCTTGCACATTTCAGAAATATTATTTGATTCTAATGATATTTGTAAATGTCTTTCATTTTCTGGACTGGAATTTAAACTTGAGTTTAAAAAACTTATAGAATCGTTAAAGATACTCCCACAATCGAATGATATATTTAACTTATCAATATCAATGTTCCTTATTTGTTTAGCTATAGCATCTACGTCTTTTTCAAATTTAATTGATTTATCAAAACTGACATGATCTTTATTGGCTTCTTCATATTCTGCTACTTTGTAAGGTTCAATATCTTTGACCGTAATACAATTAGTTCCAGATAATTCAATATTCCCAAAATGATGAATCTTTTCCAAAAGGTCTTCTTTCTTCTGTAAATTCACAATTAATGATGGGATAAAATCTAAACTAGATTGCAATAAAGAAAGCTGTTGAGTGTGTACTGCTTCTGCTTGTCGCAATAGTTGTTTTTCTCTTAATCGCAATGCGTCTGTCAATTGTGCAAAACAATTCTTAATTTTTTCTTGAATCTACAATATGGAAAAGAATATGATTAACTTAATATGATTAATATTTCAATTGAAGAAGTAAAATTTACAAAAATAATCATACACTACTTACTTCTGCTGTATTATCTTCCAATGATTTTCTCTTATTAGATATTAATTTAATTCGATACAAATTGTTATCATTGGTATCATCTTCTTCATTTTTACCTATCATATTAAATCCTATTTAATTCCTGATTATAATAATACTATCTACAATGGCAATTTAAAAATTAACACTTTATTGTCAAATTTGTCTACATAAAATTATGCACCACGTTCGAGACTATTCAGATAACAATGAAAGCACAGTCCAGTAACTCTTTATCGAAATAAAGAGGTTATATTGATATTTAATACATCAAACGATTAAGAGAAATCTTATTTTAATTGTATTATTTAATTAATAAGAACAAAAAATAATCATAAAAGAATGTAGAAGCAAAAAATATGGCTTTTGCTATGATTATTCTATTTTTATTATTTAAAAAATTCTAATGCATTTATGTTTAACGATCACGCCGCCAGGGGGATACATGTTTCCTTGCATTAAGTGCATCCGCGATGCGTTCAAACGTGTTAGATAATTTTCTAATTAATAAATCAATATTTTAAAAGGTATATATAAAAAAAAGTTATAAAAATAAAGTGAATTTTTATTACAACTTATATTTCATAATATCATGGTATAAAAACAAAGGTAAAAAATATTATATTCTTCTTCTATACAGTAATAATCTTATTCCTAATGAATAGACAACCTTAAATTGTCAATGTACATTTTTGTGTAAGATATATTACTTAAAAATAATTCTCTGTAAAAGTAATATTATTTTACATATATGAATATATAAAATTAATTTACTCAGTCAATTTAAGACATGAAATATTATCAACGCTAACGTAATGCTAAAATCTCTTTAGTTGCTATTTGACAAATTGCATTAAAGTCAGACGAAATATATGATCTCCAGAATTTGCATTTACTCCAAAGAACTGCAGGATAATTAGGGCTTTGTATGCCATGAAAAATTCGTGCCACTGCACGACCAGTAAAACTGCTATCCTTGTAACTCAGTATCAAACTACGTACATCGCTAGCTATTTGTGCTTCATTCAATAATTTAACCTGCAATGATATCAAATTTTCAAAAAAAGTTATTATTATTAGACAAAATTAAATCAAATTAATAATACTTTGTCATATATATTATATACGTATACTTACTTGTGTTCTACAAGTAGTATCATTTAAATGATCCGATTGGAAATAATTTCGTATAGTATTTTTCAGTCCTTCTGACATATTTACAATATTCTCAGATGCAATCAAGCATTCATTAATTGTCGATGCGCTATACTTTTGAAAAGCTATACTAACAGCTTCTAATTGTTGCAAAGAAGAAATTTCTCTTGATTGTGTTCTAGATACCAATACATCTAAAGCTTCATCTAATTCAGCTTCGGTTAAATCACCACGAGCTTTAACTCTTAAACCTAGTGTGTTATAATGAACTGATATAGCAGAACGCTTTGGTCTCCCTTCAACTGTAAAGAAAAATATCGAGAAAGTAAATAATCATCGTATCTTAGAAAATATTTAAAGACAAATGTATGCTTATATTTACCTGTTTTCCATTCTAAATCTTTCAGATGTTTTTTAACCACTCCGCTATCCCAGCCAATAATAGAAGCAACATCCACAACAGGGAATTCTATGACGGTACTTTTTTCATGAGAAATACCTTTTTTTAAGTCCAATGCAATTGCCATGGCAAGAGGTGGACACTGAAATTAGAAATTATAGAAATAATTAAATATTCTTTCTTAAATAAGTTTATTAATACATAAATATAATAAGAGTATTATAAAGTACATACCGATTGTGCGGCTAATCTAAGTGCCTGCGGACCATTGTAACTACTAACTTTAGCCTTGGTATAAGCGGAAGAAAGAACTGTTAAAAATTTCTTATGATACAGTTCTAAATAACATAAAAGAGTTAAAATCGTTTCTTCAGTAATGTCAAGTAATCTAACAATTTCATCGATAGGTAGAGCAACTTCATGACCAGAACATTTTTTATCGGGCGCATTTTTATTCATTTGTGCACACGAACAAGGTATAAAAACTTTAGCAAGCAAACGTCTGATTGTATGCCTATCAATACTGTTGGCAAATATGTGTCTTCTTAATTCCCATTTGTCACTGTTTTCCTAAAATATAAGAAAACAATTTACATATCGTAAAAATGTCAATATATTAATCTTAAATTAAAAAATACAAAAAATACAAAATCATTAAGTACCTGAGAACTTATGAATAAATGACATTGTGCTGGCAATCCATCTCGACCAGCTCTTCCTACTTCTTGTACATATCCTTCAAACGTTGCTGGCATATTGTAATGTATTACAGAACGAATATCTGATTTATTAATGCCCATTCCAAATGCCACAGTTGCTACCACAATTCTAGTTTTTCCACTCATAAAAGATTCTTGTACAGTTTTACGACGATAACTGGATAATCCTGCATGATATGCCTCTGCTATATGTGATATTTTACTATTTGTTTTTGTAATATCTTGTGGATTCTATTAAAAGAACGTACAATAATATAATAACATATATATATAAACGTATGTACTTTAAATAATATTAAACAACTTACTTGAAGGGAAACTCTTAAAACACCTGAGATTCGTACACATTCTTCTCTACGTGTACAATAAATAATAATAGAATTGCATTCCTTAAATCTGTCGCTTAACAAAAGCTTAACTAAAGCATTATCTCTTTGTTCATCTTTTGATACACTTAAGAACAAATTGTTTGGTAATGGTACATCAGATATAACACCTGCCATTCCATCAGGAATATCCAGATGATGAACTATACTTTCAGCAGTAGATCTAGTAGCAGTTGCAGTTAAACTCAATACTGTTTTAACACCAAATTTTTCTTTTAGAACACGACAAACCATTAGATACGATGGACGGAAATTATGAGACCATTGAGATATGCAATGAGCTTCATCTATACAAGCAAAAGCTATCGGTGGCAGTTGTCTAAGTAAAGCACCAAATCCAGTTGATTTCTCACCAGCCACTATTGCTTCAGGTGAGACAAGTAATATTTGGATTTTCGATTGTTTTACAAGTTGCATTACATTATCTCTTACTTTAGGAGTTTGATTAGTATGCAAACAAGCTGCGGATAAAAATGATGCCATGCTAGTTACTTGGTCGTCCATTAATGAAACTAATGGCGAGATAACTAATGTTATGCAGGTTGAATATTTAGAATATAAATATGCCGGTAATTGATAACATAAAGATTTTCCAGAACCAGTTGACAAAGTAAGCAACGTTGATTGACCAGACAATATTCTCATTATTGCTTTTTCTTGTCCTGGTCTAAAGTTCTTATGGCCAAACATTTCCAAAACTTCGAATATTTCTTTTGGTGTATCTAAAGAGAAAGAATATTCAATTAATATAATTGATAATATAATTATATGTTATTTTGTAAAAAAAGGATAAGATTAAAATATGTTACCGATGAGAGATCCATCTTCTTTCAAGGGATATAATGCTGTTAATACTTTTATTTCAGGGAGGCATAATTTGGCTATCAATTCATCAGGAATTTTATGGACTACTGGAATTTCCTGTAATAAATTTTAATAATTAGATATAGTAAGTATATAAATTAAAAAAAAAAAAAAAAAGCAATTTTATATATTTATACTGATAATATTCACCTGTTCTTCCTCATTTTCTTTTTCCATCTCTACCTCCATTTCTTCTTTTTCTTCTTCTTCCATAATATCTGCAAAATCAGCTTCATCCAAAATGTATTCCTCGTCATCTAATGTTAATACCATCTCCTCTTGATAGGTATGCAATGGTTTTTCAGGAAGTTTACTAAGTTGTTTGCTGTGCGCAACAAGGGCATTTTGCTTTGCCATTTTTTCAGCTTCTTCTAAACTTGGATACTCGGCAAGCTCATCGGTTTCAACCAAAGGTAATAAATTATCTGTTTTCATTGCTGTACAATAACGAGCAAAGTGTCCAGTTTCACCACATTTAAAACAGGACATACCATTCTTCTCTATGAAATCAATTACATCAAGATTATCCTCGCTCGATCCTAATGCCTTCTTCTTTTGTTTCCATTGATTTTTCTTATATTTGGAAAAATTAAATGATTTCTTGCCGCGTACGAAGATTTTTTTCTTCAAATTTATTCTAACAAAATTATCATTCAATTTACCACTTGCAATCTTTTCTTCTAATTTTTCTTTATTACTTTTTTGTCCTTTGAAATCAGTGGTAACAGAACTAGAACTAGTAGATTCAGCAGAATCTAATAATGAAACTGAATTGGAAAAATCAGTGATTAAATCTCCAGTACCAGATGAACAAATTGCAATGCGTGGCACTGCTTCTAAAGTTTCTATTCCAAATATTTGATTATTATCAGTATCTTCCATAACTGAATCTTTAATGCTTTCTTCATTTTCCTCAACTTCTTTAATTCTACGTCTAGTGGGCCTTGTTACATTTGATTTTTTCTGTCTAGTTGTATTGTTTTTATTCTTAGTTCCAGGTTTTCTTCCTCTCGTTTTTTTAACTTTTTTCTCTTTTGGAGATATATCTTTATTAGCAGAATTATCTGTATCAAAATCATTTGTATCATTCTTTGGTGTATCATATGTTTCTACAATTTCTTTTTCTTTGTCTAGATTATCGTTGACACTTTGTAGAGTCGATTCATTAGAAACATTATTTATTTCAGTATTATTAACTGTTAATACATTTGCTTCATTGTTATTAATTTTCAAAGAACTATTATTAGATAAAACATTAGTAGTTTCTAGGCAAGGCCGTTTAATTACACGATTACATTCATTCTCTCTTTTGTTAGAATTTCTAATACGTTTATATCCTTTACTATCTTCTTCAGTATCACTAGTACATATAAAATCTTCTTCGTCTGATATTTGTAATGATTTATCATCGGATGGTTTCTTCGTATCTTTTGGAGAATTAGATTCCATTGATTCTGTACCAGAGTCACTGAAATTAGAAAATCTTTGCAAAGTAGTATTAGGATTTAAATTCTCCTCTTGCGTGCATCTATTCAGCCAACCTTGATTTATATTTCGATTAACAGAAAGTATTGGATTCTGTATCAATTGATGAATGGTATTTAAAGATTGACTATTGACTTTAGGTTCCGTGTTAACTATTTTAAAGGAATCATCAAAAATAGTCTTGGTCTCTTTATTCGTATCTTCCTCAACTAAATCTACTTTCACCTCTGATTCGTTATGAGTTTCATCATTCTTATCATTGTTTTTAACTTTTGTCTGAGATAAAGATTTGCGAGGATTTCTTTTCTTTAAACTAGAATAGGTAAATTTGTTTCTAGACAGTTGAAACGTAGAAGATTTATTAACTGTTAAATATTCTTTCTTTTTAACCATGGGATCTGCATTCTTACAAACATTGCTGTTCCATACATCCTTAAGATTTTTTATTTCAGGCTCATCTATCAATGAGGTAGTTGTTGGATCTATATTTTCGCTATCCTTTTCAACAGAATTCATTAATGTTTTATCTTCTGTTTTTCCTGGAGTTTGTTGTTGAGAAGATTCAACAGAAATATTTGTTTGTAATTCTTCATTAAATGTAATATCTAAAAGGGTTTCTTCCAATGCTTCGGTTTTCAATTTATAATACATTTTATATGCTTCTTTGATTGTAACATCAGCCTCTTTGATATCGTGCTATATTGAAAAGAACAAAAAAATAATATATATATTAAAAATATAAAAGAATATATAGGAATAAAAAACACATTGAATATATATTTATATTTATATATGAAAGATATTAAGAAATAAATAAGAATAAATTATTCTTATATACCTTGGTTGGTTTACGTCCATATTTTTCCATAAAATTACTTTCCCATAATTTTACACGACGTTTATATTTTTGATATCTAGATTTAAAAACAGGATCTTGCAACAATTCCATTTGATAATAATTAATATAACTATTCTAATCTTGCAACACAATAATACAGTAGATTTTTCAGAAGCATTAGGTTACATCAGTATAACTGTACAACGTGTATTATTTGCCGCGGAATTAATAAGGTATGCGCGGGAAAAATTTGTCCAGCCACAAGCTTATGGGCACAACGTAACTATTATATTATTTAATAAAATTAAATCAAATAAAATGACATTATCTAGATTTATAATAATACATAACGAGTATCATATAAAAATAATTACGCGAAAAAAGTTTAGATAAAAAAAGTAAATGCACTTTTATCGATGGTACTATGCACACGTGTAATTAAAAAGAAAAAAAAAAACAAAGAAAGAAAAAACCATCGAAATAATAATAACACCAAATATATGCACAACGAGTGATACAATTATTTGTTTACAAATACCGTTATAAAAATATTAAAAAAGAGAAAAAAAACAAAAGTATTCTCGTATCGGATAATAATATTAAAAAAAAAAAAAACAAAGAAATCATAGAATAATACAATGTACTTTTATGACAGCTGGAAATCATCTGCTGCGGTAGGTCGACGAAGAATCTTTGTGATTGGTTGAATCAATGGTAGAAGGGGTAAACGAAAAGTAATGGGAGTGGTGGAAGTGTTGGCGGTGTGAGCAGGGGCAGGGAGGGGGGTAAACCTCGAGGAAGGTGAGGCGCCACCTATCGCCATTGGTGACGAGTCAGTAATAGGCAAGATGGCCGAACGGTGGTGACGGGTTAAGGAATGTACGGCTGGAGAATTCGCGATCTCGGCTTAGCGCGGATGGCCTAGCGATGGCCGAATTCAACATCGACATCGGCAAACTTCCGGAGGACGTTAGGGAGAAACTCGCCGAGTTAGATCTTGAACTTTCGGAAGGTAAGTTAAAATAATATATAAATATTCGAGTTAGTTATATAGTTTTCGATTAACTATACTCTAGCGATCGCGCGGTGAACCCTCTATCTTTCTCTCTCACTCTGACTCACCACCCCGTGCTGTAGACCCCGATGAGAGAGAGAATCCCCTAGCCCCCGTGATAAAATCGATAACACCTTGCTCCTCGTCGTCCTCGTCGTCGTCGTCTTCGTTGTTGTTGTCGTCATCGTTGCAGTTGCAATTGCAGTTGTCGTTGCAGTTGCAATTGCAGTTGTTGTTGCACATTCGTCGTTAACTCTTTCTAACTCTCTCCACCCTTTTCTCTCTTTAATTTATTTACTTTTAAATATCTAGTTATTTATTTCACACACACATACATATATATATATATATATATATATATATATATATGTTTTGTCTCGATCATTTTTATTGATCGCAACTTGACAATGACACAACGATGATATGCAAGTACATACATACATATATATATATATATCTACCTATATTACTAGAATGGTATTTAATCGAATGGAGAGTGTTTCTTTGAATTCTAATTCCTAGAAATCCAGATTCCATTGAGATTTATCCTGAGAGAGTAAAAAAGAAAGAAAAGTAGAAAATGAGAGAAAGAGAGAGAAAGAGAGAGAGAAACAGTGCAGCCGCACCTTCCTTCCTTCCTTCCTTCCTTTCTTCTTTTCTTCCTTTCTTCCTTCGTTTCTTCCTCCGAGGATGCGCCACGAAGAAAAAGTAGAAGAAGAAGAAGAAAAAGGTTGCATTTCACCTAAAGGAATCATATTCGTCTCGCGACGCCGCTCGATAAGAACCCTTTTTCCTCTTTCTCTTTCTTTCTTTCTTTTTCTTTCTTTCTTTCTTTCTTTCTTTCTTTCTTCGTAGACTATCGTAAAAGGAGGCTTTTAAGTGCACGCGTGCGTGTCTCTTTGCTGTGTTCGCCTGTTTGCTTCTCTCCCTTTCCCCTTTTCCTTCTCTTCATTTTCTCTCTCTTTCTCTTTCTGTCTTTTTCCCTCTTTTGCTGTCTCTACGTATCCTTCGTCACGTACACGCGTTACTATACTTCATACGTATCAGCCTAAAACTTCGTCATTTTATTCTTAATTTTCTCTTTCTCTATCTCTATCTGTCTCTCTGTGTGTACCTTTTTCTTTCTCTCTCTCTCTCTCTCTTTCTTTCCTTTCTTCCCACGTTCACTTGGTGGTAATATAAATAACTGAAAATAAGATCTATCTATTAATAGAAGATGAGCCTTTGAACGATCATCCTTGCACATCGAAGAAAGGGTTTAACGATAATTCTATAAAGTAGCTCGCGAATCATCCGTAAAGATGGAGAAAGAAGAAAACAAAATAAAAAGGGAAAAGGGATCGTTGTACGATCCCTCTATATATATGTATGTATGTATGGATGATGACAAAGACACTAGCCCTTGGTGGAAGGGTTCGTTAAAGGATTGTAAAGAAAAAACAAATGAAATATTCTTTCTTTCTTTCTTTTTCTTGTAGAACAATCGGTGCAATCTTGTCGAAGTTCTGGCCCTTTAAATATTAAATCCTAACTGTCGTTTTGTGAAAAATAATACAACGTTGCTATTGAAAAACATTTATTTGGTGATATTAATGAGATTAATTAATTTCATTATAAAGTCAAATATTTGTCCAATTTTTTTTGCTTCTTATTTAAATGAAATTCATTTGTAATATATGTGATGTGCATGCACAAAACATTTATTTGATTCTTATCAATGATTGTGTGTTTTAGATTGATTTAATCATAGAGTTAATATTCTTCAAATTTAATTAATTGTCATATGGCATACATACATACAAACACACACATATATAAATATATTGATAAAATTCTATTTGAAATAAAACATATTTATATATCTTTTTATTTTTCTGTTTCTTTCTCTCGTTTAGGTTCGTTCGTTTCGATTTTGTATTTTAAGCATCTCCAGCACAAGTATATGTATATACATATATACGTTTTACACATTCAAACACAGAGAAAGAAAGAAAGAAAGAGAGAGAAAGAGAAAGAGAGAGACTAGTTAAAGCCGCGACAAGTTATTGACCGGTTTCTCACGAATACACAATCCACGTTTAAACGACTGCTTCATTAATCGTTAATTCTTCTATATACTCATAGCTTATTACCAACCATATACATATGACACTACCATCATCATCATCATCATCACTACCATCATTCTCGTCATCACACGTTATTCATCATTCTATCCAACGTGTCGTGAATCCCAAAAAAAAATAATTATCTTTCTATCCAAACACACAAATTTCTAAATTAATCAAAATATTTTACACCGATTAATTTTATAATTAACATGATAAAAAAAAGAATATAATTAAAATGATATTAAATATCACACATTAAACAAACATTTCTTTCTTTCTTTTTTAATCCATTTCCCATTTCTCGATACTGGATATATTTATTATGGTGTTCTTGGTATTAAAACTCGCAGGTGTGAAATTTCGTCTCTCCTTTTTTCACGAAAAAGAAAAAGAGGGGGTGGAGGAGGAGGAGAAGAAGGGGGGAGTTGATACAACGGTGTTGTGTAGTCACAAGGATTTGCTTAATGTTTGTATTCATAGTTACAACTATTATAATGTGAAACCAAGCAACTAACCAACCAACCAACCGGTTTTCTCGAATCTACGTTTCTTCTCTCTCTCTCTCTTTCTTTCTTTCTCATTTTATTTCCATCCTTTTTCTTGATCTCTATCTTTCTCTCTCTCTCTCTCTCTCTCTCTCTCTCTCTCTCTCTCTC